TTGGAAGATATATACAGTTCGTATTTCCCAGGGCCTTCCATTATGTTCCCGTGGACTCACCTGGAAGCAATGTGTATAGAATGTGGCAGGAACATGGAAAGATGGATGCACCTCTGTAGGGAGTTTTGTTGCTTTCAGTGTTCAGTGGTGGGTTGCTGTGCAGTTATTTCTCATTATGCCAGTTAGAATATCTAAATTATTTGTATGATTTTTTTTCTTTGGTAGTACAGTAGTTCCATATTTTGCTTTGGAGGAAGCCTTTAAACCATGATAAGCCAGTTTGGAGATTGTGCTTTAAGAAACCAAGACAGCTTTGCTGAAATTTTACATGCAAAGAGAGGAGAGGAGAAGAGTGGTAAGAAAAAGCCATGTGGGGACATGGCTAGTTCTTAGGTTGATAAACCATGGACTGTTAAACCATGAGACCAGTTCCTGAGATGATGGCAAAACATAAAACCAGGCCCATTGTTTTCTTATCAACTGGATGTTCAGGGATGCAGTTCGAGGAGAAAGTGCCTTTAAAACTGATGGGGCGGAGGGCATATTTCCTCAACCCCATTCTTTGCACATCAGGCTAGTTGAGGAACAAGAAAGGGACAGCAGAGTCAGTTTTAACAGCAACAACTAAGGGGAAGTGAGAGGAGAGAACCGCTACTCCCGACACATCTTGGTATTCCTCACACTAGACCCTGCTGTGTATCAGTACCCTCTGGGCTTTGCTGAGGACAAACACGAGAGCAGTGTTCATGGAACGGAATGGCTGCAATGAATGTGTAGAGGTGGAAAGAGTATGTGTGGAAATGAAATGGGTGGAAAAGCACCGAGTAAGGGGTTTAGAGAAAAGGGCGGGCAGCTTCAAGGTGAGACTCCTAAGGGGGCAACAGCTGGCAGCAGACAGAGAGGCTAGCATGCCCAGCACTAGCATTGGCAGGTGCCTCAGGCAGGGATGTGTGATACCATATCACTTGGTCAACTCGGCGTTGTCAATTGTAACAGGTCATGTGCTCTAAAACTGTTCTAGTGAGTGGTTGTTCTCAGATTGTCTGTCAGAGGCTCTAGCCATTCCTGTATACTTCCTCTGCATATTCTTTCTTTATAGAGCCCCTTGGGACTTCTGTATCTGTTTGTTCTTTCCTTTACTTAAACCAGTGTTTGTTTATGGAATTAATTTCTCTGTAAGTGCACTTAACTCCAGGGTGGTGATATTAGCTTCTTGACTTTTGCTAAATAAATCTTCCTTATTTCTAAACCTCAACTGTTGTTTCTGCTTTCTTTGCTTCCTCTGCTTTCTCTGTATCCTCCCAAACGTATACCTTACTTTCCATCAGTTAAAGCACGAACAATGGTGAGTGATCTGTTCAACGCTCCTCACAAGCACCAATACAAGAGTCATCAGCAGGAAAAAATAATAATGCCCAAATGAAATGCACCAAGACTGGAAAAGACAAAAGGCCACATGGGAATCTGGGGCTGGTGGTGCCAAGTGTGAGGTGTTCGAGCACAGTAACTGCCATGTTCCTTACCTCTCTCAGATACATTTTTCCAAAGAGTAGCAGTAGGCAGAGATCAGCTCTATCTAAACAGACACTTAATTAGTGATGGTGGAGGATCAGCTCTCATGGGGCAGAATTGTCCCATCTAAACAAATGCCCTTGTCAAATTGAATGCCTTTTTGTGGCCCCTCAATCCAACTTTAATAATAATCTGATTGCCATGTTGTGTCACAGGCAAAGCCAAATTCTCATAGCTCTTTTCAGAAATGAGGAATGCTTTAGAAATGCATTAGTTCTAGTACTCCATAACGTCCTGCATTACATTCTCTGGCTTTTTTTTTAAAGGGTCAACAACATTCATGCACATACAAGCTGGGGG